TTTTTTTTTTCATATACATATACGAATGTATTTATGTCAGTATATATGAAAATGAATATATCATTAATGAAAGAAATTATGAATATTATTTCAACGATGAAATTCAGTTCAATCGATTCAATATTAGTTTAATCGTGATTAAAGCACTTGCATGTTCATATTTGTCTTTAGCACTTACACATTGTCCTTTCACTAAGGGAAATCGAATGCTTCACTTCACTCTTTAGATAACACTTTTGTACACAATGTAGTACGTAGCTACTTTCTTTCTTTTCCTTTAAAAACAAGATGCAAGTACAACAGTGTCACAATTAACAGAGGAACAAAATAAATAGCTCAGTCCCAACTGGCATCACTCTCACCCTCTTCCTCTTCTTCCTCTTCTTCTTCTTCCTCGTCAGTGAACATGGTATCGTATATATAATCTGGATCATCATGTAGGAACTTATCATCACGACTTTTTTTACTTAACCCCATTCTACGCTTCTTTGTCGTTAAGGCAAGTTCATCCTCTGCTGTTCTTTCCTTACGAAATTCATAGACTAGTGGATAAATATATTCAATCGCAGCTTGGACAGCAGCAACATTGGGAGCTGTAATTTCCATGTATTCGATGAATAAACTCAATGATTAAAATAAAAAATAAAAATATATTTTCTTATATTCCTTATTTCAATTTTCACAAACAAAATATCTATGAGATATTTTGTTATGATATTATGATATTTCATAACACAATGTCTACATCGAATACGTTTAATTGTTTACAATTGAATGTCATTCATCTTTGTCTCATAACTGTTTTTTTTGCCTCAAATTTGCTTTCTAAAAAATATTTAAAATATTTCATTCACAGTATTGCATAAGCGACATTGTGTTGACAATATACTGTATCCGCGAAAGGAAAAAATACGAATTAAGATAAATTTTACTCCATTGATGAAACAAACCTGTTACAGTGACACTTCCAGTAGAAAATATTTTTAACGTAGCTTTTGGTTCTTTTAGTTTATATGTGACACCAGGATGTAATTCTGGTTCGTAACTAAATAAAATAAATACATAAATATTTTTGAATGAAAATAGTACATTACAAGATCTTTCATTTATTTCTATGAATTATACGAGCTATATACATTTTTTATATCTCATATACATAATATATATACTTACTCTGCATTTTCTTTATGACACGATGAAAATGATGTTATCTTGATTGCAAATGGCATACAGCATGTACCTAATACATTGACTACTCTATAATTATTAAATCGCACTTTAAATCCCAATTTCTGAAGCGAACGCGCAAAACGGCGAGCTGCGACCTTTGCTTGGCCTTCGCTAGTTGCACCAGTGCATGTTACTTTACCAGAAGACCATATAGAAGCAGTAGTATACGGTCTCCTTAATTTCATAGTTATCATCTGCACATAACATATGTACCAAAATCATTCTCCATAAATGTGAATTACTGTTTAAAACTATTAAAAACTTAAAACCTATATTACAATGTAATAAAATTAAGGATTGAGCCTTTTTGGTCTTAGATGTTAATTAAATGTATCACATACGAATAATTCGCTGCAAATGAAAAAACAATACTTCTTTAAAACATACCCCATTCTCTCTTCTATATTCCACGTTAGATCCATTTAGTGCAATTTCTCGTAAATTTAAATGACATCTAACGCTGAAACTGCAAACTACATTATTGATAACAATATCCAATTCACGAGGTTCTTGTTCATGGGACTCCATGTAAGGTTGAACTTGCCCATCAAATATTCTTTCATCTTTTTCTTCTTTACATATATCGGTATTATCTAAGTTCTTTACATCCTCTACGTGGTTTATTGACGTGTTTGTTAAAGGTTTCATGCCATTCTTTTGAATAGCAGTTGCCATAATATATACCTAAAATAGATAAGATGATACTAATTTTTTCTTTTACTCTATATAACTGTATATATAAAATATTACATTTATTGCTTCACTATACGTATTAGTTCGCATAATGTTTCATTGCACGATTCAAAAAACAATTTTTGAAGGATAACAACCCCATTTTTTAAATGGAAACTAGTTTTCTTTAATCCAAGTATTGAAAAATAAAATACGTCTTACACTATTAAAAAATTAAAAAGTAATTATCAATTAGTCGATAAAATATTACCATTTATTATATCATTAATTATAAGAAATTTTAATACTTCTAATTTTGAACTGAAATCTTAGATCTGCAGTTCTTAATTTTAAAAATTTTTCAGTGTTCAGCAGCTTATCATTCATATTATATGTTTGAACATAAAAAGCACGAAATAAACAAATATAAATTATAGAACAAAGCGACGAGTTTTTCCTTAAAAATAAATATAAAACGGTGCAATGTAAAATCGTATATCACTGATACTACTTTGCCTCGAAACGATATCTGATAAGCATGGAGATACGTTCTACAAAGGATGTATCAATTTTCATTGAAAAAGATAATCAACTTCCGAAGGAAGTTGAACGGAAATGTTCTGTGGGACAGTTTTAAAAGTACTGCGAACGAAACGTCGCGGAAATGCGTAAACGTTTAAAAGATAAAATGTTCGCAAGAGCGCGTGAATCTCTAATGAAAATTCTCGGAGGATTTTCCGATGAAAATCTCGGAACGGATTTCTTCCGCGTTAGACGAGGTGACAGTGAGAAAAGAGACGAAAAGCACAATTGCTATCCTTCGTAGCAAGTCAGACAACCATAGTGCTAAACGAGAAAAGGTTAAAATTTCAGAAGACAACGAGGAACTAAAAATGGAAATTGGACTTACGTGTGACTATATTATGTGGTTCAGTTACTTTTTAATTAAAGATAACTTCTTTGTTGACAAGTACCAGGGGAACGCAAAGTTAACTCAATGACCACTGCCATTGTTTTCGGCCATCTTCACTAGACTAGCTACTGATCAAAGTCACGGACGCGGCAATGATACATAAAAGGGAATACTCGTTGATAAAATACTGTCTCGTGTGTGTGGGCGCGCGTACATGCGCGCGTGTGTTTTCATTTCGGACCAATTATCGTATTTTATATAAATTTATATTTGTTATCGTATTTTATATAAATTTATATTTGTTACGTTTCGATATTTAAATGAATATCAGTCAATTCTATCGAAATGAAGATATCAAATTTACTTTGATATTTCTCTAGTTGCTTGATATCCCTAGATTTCTTTCTAGAATTGAGTGTGAATTCCCCTAGATTTCTTTCTAGAACAAGTGTTCCCTAAGCTTTTTCGTTTTCTTTCCAAGTTTTCTTATTTTTTATCCGAAATATTCTTGCATGATCTGATATCTGAAGGTTTTTAATACACGTGGATTGCTCCTGTACAGCTCTGCAATCTGCATGTAAATGTGTAAATAGATTTTCAAAAATGAGCATCCTTTATTGCATTTTTATTGGAAATGTTCCATAATATTTTCATAGTAATTTGAAATTACTTATTCTCAAAAAAAAAATAAATAAATAAATAAATAGAAACGATCTCAGCCTATTGCTATTAGTACACTTGCGATTTTATTTAAATAAATCTATTGAAATAGTCACTAATCAAATTATCACTGATCGTTGCAAAATATGTAAGAATTATGAACGGACCAAACTTTTATGCGCAAGTATAATTATCATTTACGTGATATAACACACAACTATTTGTAGGATGGTGTGGATCACCTATCATAGTGCAAGGCTTGTACGATTTCAAATCATTCGAATTAATGTTGTGGTAGTTTGATATGTATTTGGTGCTGGACCTTCGTGAAGCAGCGTAATTAATCGAGCACGCAGTTTTAAATTAAACAATCAGTCAGATCGCAGAAGTTAATAAGTACATCTTGCAATAATGGCAAACAATGGTACAACAGTTGTTTATTGCACAGTTGTCTGTAACAATAATGAAAGACCATGGTTATCGATAAAAATAACATTGTGTTTTTAGAGGATAATAAAAGCGAAGGTTCGGCTGAAATCGACGGTGAGAATGAGAATGACGAGAATGAAGAAGCGGAGAAGATCCTTATCATAGATCCTGATAGCGAAGTTCGTTTTTAATTGTTCTACCACTGCTAACTTCGTTAATAACGATTAGAAAACTTGCAGTACGATTCCTGTATGTATAACTTTCGTTAATGTTTCAGGAATTAGATTTCAATCATTCAAGATTAACAAAATTAGAAAATTTGGAACCATTGAAGAAAATACATAGATTATGTTTCACGTGGAATCTGATAAAGAAAATTGAAAATCTCGATACACTTGTAACTTTGGTCGAACTAGAATTAAGAGATAATCAAATTATCGATATAGAAAACTTGGATGCTCTTGCAAACCTGGAGTATGTTATTATATTTCATATAAGTAAAATAAAATACTTTTCTCGTAACAAATGGATCGAAATAATACCTCACGTCTCTCAAATACGAGCAAATTTTTATGCAAAGTTATTGTATTTTCAGGCTTTTAGACTTATCTTTTAACCGTATCAAAAAGATACAAGGATTGGACAACTTGCTGAATTTGCAAAAGTTATACCTGTCTTCAAACAAGATTCAGTGCATCGAGAATTTGTCGCATTTAAAAAATCTTACAATTCTCGAATTAGGTGACAACAAAATAAGGGAAATAGTTAATCTCGAAGGACTTGAAAGTCTGACAAGCTTGTTCCTTGGTAAAAATAAAATAACAAAAATTGAAAACCTGGGCTGTTTACAAAATCTTCAATTATTAAGTCTTCAAAGTAATCGCATTACGAAAATAGAAAATCTGGAAGAGTTGAAGAATCTAGATCAATTGTATTTATCTGAAAATGGAATAACATGCATCGAAGGATTATTATGTTTACCAAAATTAACAACTTTTGATCTAGCGAATAATAAAATAAAGAAGATCGAACACATTGAACATCTTGAAGACTTGGAAGAGTTTTGGGTAAGAATATTATTAGGAGTTTTATATATATTTATGTAGATATTTTTTGATATTTAATACGTTTTTTAGATAAACAACAATGAAATTGAGGAATGGACAACCGTAGAAAATCTAACAGTTAATAAGAAATTACAAACCGTGTATTTAGAGCATAATCCTATTGCCAAAGATCCAAGTTACAGAAGAAAAATTAAATTATTGTTGCCATGGCTTGTACAATTAGATGCGACACTTTGCAGATAGATAACATCATTTCGCAAAGTAGATTTTTTTGATAATTCTTTAAATTATACCTATTGATATTTTTGCTTATCTCTTTTTAGTATTAATTATATATCTACGATCCTAGAAACGAAAGGTATGAAATAATTATAACTTTTTAAATAGAAATGCATTCCTTTTTTTTATGTTTTACATTTTACTAATAATCGTATTAATATCGTTGTTAAAAATTAAAATCGATCAATATTTTCATCTATTTCGAAATATAAGTTTTCAACAATCAAATAACGTAAACGTGTCTCCTTTATACCTTTGTATAATTGTACAGCATGGCTTCTTTCATTTTGTCTAATTAGATGCAATAATTTATTTAGTTATTTTTGATAACTTTTAAAAGTATCGGTAACACTTTATATACAGTAATAAAACTTTTATATACAGTAATTTTCTAATTATAAAACTTGAATGGCACTGAACATATTTTGTATGAGAATAGCAACATAAGCAATAGAGAGAATTACTAAGTAGTAATTCTACAAAGACATTAAAACTAAATTATTTTTTAATCAAATACAACAGTTTCTATTTGCAACATTCGCAACAAAACGCTCAATTATCTATTTCATATTTCAGCGTTGCTGTAAAGTACATAACTCCTGCTAAATATTTACAACATGAGCAACTAAATTACATTCTCATTCGATTGATTTTATGTGCAACATATACTCTTATCTTATACATATACATTACATCTTGTATTGTAATTTTATGCTCATTGATATATACATGTGAAATATACGGAGATTATATAAGTATGTATTTGTTAAGTACTTTACATTCACAAATTATATTACTCTGTCCGGTGATTGTCTTAATTGTCACGAATTTATGAATTGGATATATTTGTAACGAAATGGTTTCATGTTGAAAAGAAGTTTGTAATCACGCACGTACGTTAAAAATACAAAAAGAAAAACAAATTTTCAACTAATTTTCACAAATTGTATCTTGAAATACGTAAATGTACAATATCTTGATTATAGACTAAATGCAAAAAAAGGAGATATTATTTATTTAATGTATTTAGGTACACGTTTGAGTAATTATAAGTAACAATAATAATAAAAGCAAAATAATTTCAAATATCGATGTACCAGTATTAATATTTAAAATATAACTTGTATAACCGCTACGCGACGTTATTGTTTCAGTGTACGTTTGTAAAATTGAGCAAATTTTTACTTACAAAAAAGCTATTCAAGAGGATTAATTTGTGAACGTCTTCGATTGGCTTTTTAAAATTAAATCCTCAATTTTCTTTCCACCTTGACGGGAAGATTATTTTTCATTCGTTCTAGTAGAAAGCATGAATAAGACTTACAAATTCTACTCGGTAAGTCGAAACGCTCTAACGAATTTCAAATAATATTTAATCGCATACAAAACTTATATCGAGATCGAACATGAACATCGTTGAAGGCATGTCGAATATTTTCATCAACGAAATTCAAATTAAACATTTGAACATAAACATAACGTAAATTAAAACGATTTCTATTGGTAGAGTACCAACTATTACATTTTTATCTCAAAGTAATCATCGCAACATCGAACAAATTTTAACATTAATCGCAAATATAATTCGATATAAATTCGATATAGGTTTAATTGCAACATAATTCGATATAGATTTTATTATAATTCGATATATTTATCGAAAATCTGGAACATTCAAGTTACGTAATTCATCTGAAATATTTTCCTTTAAAGGAAAGATCATTCGTTCCACTTCGTCATTTGATGATCAAAATATACTCATAGATAGAGAACTTAAAAACTGAAACAATTGATCGTTTCATTTAAAATGGAAAAATCAAACTGATAGCACGCATGCATACGTTCCAAAACCAATCAATTTGATCTTTGTTATTTCGATCCGTAATCAAGTTCGAAGTTATACGATCTATGTACGCATTTTAGGAACTACAATTTCGTATCTTTCGATCAAACAAGTATGACATTTTTCCATAACTTTGATTAAATTCAACGGGCACTTGTATCAACGGGCATGGTAACGAAACAAACGGTTGGACGCATGGTGGAAACAAAAATGAAAAATGGAACTCCCCGAAGAACTATGAATCATCTTGTCTTGTATTAAAATATCTTTCTTTTTTTTTCTTTTTATCTTTACTGGAGTTTATCTCTAGTATTCACACGTCACTGGAAAGCTCCGACATCTCCAATAGAAACGTAATCATTGTTAAAACGATGCAGTCATAATCGCACAGTGTATGCGATAGTATACGTGCGACAAAAGTAAAGTCGACGGTCGATTGGTCAAGACGGCACAACCGCGAAAAGTGATTGGCCAACGTGATAATTCAGGCTGTAGCTGGTGTACAGCACGCGTGAATTGAGTGTGACGTCACCGTCAGTACTCGCAATCGGCCATTTTGTGAGTGTGTGCTGGATCGGGATATTTGTGTTAAGAAGCTTTTCCAGTAAAACCGAATGATTTAGTTTACAGGACGGACTTGCTTTACTTTTATTATATGTGCTAAGCGTGTGGACCGTCCGTAAACTTCACGCGTAGATTTGAACGATGGAGGAGAAGGCATCGTTGAAGGAACTCGACCAGTGGATAGAACAATTAAATAACTGCCAACAACTAACAGAAAGCCAAGTAAAATCTCTGTGTGAAAAGGTACATACTTTTTGCTTTTTTCTTCCTCTTTTTTTTTCTTCATCCGTCAAAAATCATCGTCACCATCATCGCATTGGTTTCTTCGGTACATTTTATCGAAGTATCTCTTGTTTGCCTTGCAATTAATTTCATCATGATGTTTCACGTTCGTTTGTTCGTTAATTTACCGATGATCACCGAGCATAATTTGACATGTCTCGTTACTCGTTACATTACGATACCTTTGAATGTACTTTATGAACAGAAAAAATACTATCGATAATTTGCGTTTTGCGATTTCGACAAATTCAGTCTTGATGGATATTCAACCACGATTTACGGCCAGACGCTGCAAAAAAAACCAGCGTATTCATTGCTATTTGTACTTATGTACACACTGCAACTTGTTCATCTCTAGCAAGTTGTCGGATCCAACCGACGATTCTATTTTTATTTCTCAAATGAAATTTCTCGCAGTGTTTTAATTTGTATATTTCGATGTACAAATTATACACCTGTGATGTTACAGCGAAATTATTTTATTCGATTATATTCCTCTTTGAGATATTGATATGTAACGCACGCATACAAATAATTCTGAATTATTAAACATTTAATCATTGTGCACGAAAGTTTTTAT